CATCCACACACACGGACAGAAGGGACTGAGACGAGGCTGTGCACACTTCACACAGTTACTTATAGAATATCAAGTACAGATCTGAAGACTTTTATTTATCATACAGACGATAACAGCTAAAAGTAGGAGAGCTCTTTAGCAGATTTCTTTCAAGGAACTTTGTTATATCATCATATGTCAGTGCAGATCAAATAATTCCATGCATGAACGTGTAGAGTTCAGCCTGAGGTGTTTATTTCAGAACTAAAGAGGGAAAACAGATTATTTAGATTCATGGTTTTCCGCCAATATTGTAAATATCGGAAAATGATGGCAAATGCTCGTCACAGGTTCTAGAGCCCAAGTTGGTGGATTGATGTTGCTTGTTTTGTTTGACCAAATGCCCAGAACTCAAAAATATTCCAATTACTTTTTTTTTTTAAACAGAAAAGCAGCAAAAGCATAAATTTGAGAAGCTGCAACGGGCAAATGTTTGGTGTTTGGTTGATAAATAATGTTTGTTCTGTCGAACAACGAATCCTGAGCACTGAGGCAGATTAACTGAAAGGTCAATAGTCCAAAATAATGAAATGTATTTAAAAAACAAATGTTCATGGTTGCGGTGGAAAACCTCAGCTCTTATCCAAACCTAAAGGCCTGTGAACAGTGTCTCTGCGCTCACACGTTCAGTGTCAGCAGTGCAGCTGCTGAACACAGCGCATGATTTGCCTTTAAATCATCTGTGCGGTATTTTCCTTCTGCTGACATCTGCGTGTAACTTTCACCGACTGTACAGTCATGAACATGGTGTTTGTCATGTCTGTCTCCATGGTGATTTGTTGCTTTGCCTCCAGGAACTGTTTGTTTTTCAACACTTGTTCCCTTATATTACCTGCATCATGTAAAGGAAATAAAAAAGCGTGGAAATTGTCTTAAAACGGGAGAACGTTATAGTGAGAACTCAGGCAACCACATGTTCACTGTGAACAGTGGAGAGAGTGTTTCTCACAGCAGATGGATGCTGAGTCAGCAGCATCCACACTATGTTATCCTGTTCTTTATATTTTCTGATTTCTTCCGTATGTTTTTGGACACTTAATAAGTGTAAGTAATAATAGTAAGATAGACACATTTAGAACTTGTATTGGTTTCTGCTATCAGCATCAACACGCATTTTCTTCAGGAAATGCATTTGTCTATTTTGACCTGTGTCCCTGTGTCCGTGCAGTACTGGCGGCAGGTGTACCTGGTGACGGTGCTCGCCATGATCCTGGCTGTCTTCTTCGCTCAGATCCACCCTCAGTACCTCAGCAAGCAGTGGAAGCAGCTGCGCTCGCTCATCTTCTGTTTGGTGGCCGGGTACGGCCTCATCCCCACCGCCCACTGGATCTGCATCACTGGAGGCTTCTCCTCAGAGCTCGTCCAGGTCAGAACATTCACTGGTCAGCTGTGTGCACTCACACCAGACATTTTGTGCAAGCTCAAACGGCACCTCATACTTAGTGAGCAGTAGTTAATAGAGGTGTCCCGATCCTATACCAAGTATCGGAATCTGTGCCGATCTGGGCATATTTCACAGGATCGGCCAGAACGGAACGTTCTAGTTCCGATCCTTATGCAGAACTACTGTCCTATATTTGAGCGTTTTAGTGCCACACAACCGATAAGCTGTTGTATTCCACAGTCAAGCTGTCCACACTGCCTGTGTGTGTCGGCCTGCGTATCACTGGCGCTTTGGGCATGTAGCTGCGACCTGAAGCCTCCATCCTTTGGAGCTGCCTCCACAGAATCCACCAAAACAATGAGCACTTGCTAGTTCCAACCAGAACTCTGCCAAAACAGATAAAACTAAAACAGTTGAAACTACATGCAGTTCTTTTTAAAGTGTATAGTTTTTAATTTTCTGGGTTTTACTGGGCTGATACACTGGACCTGTATGTGAAAGTGTAGCCAGTGAGTCCTTCACTGTCTGTTGTGGACGAGTAGTTTCCCCTCTCCAAGGTGTTTGCGTGTGAGAAACTGGATCGGGACATCCCTAATTAGTAATGGGTATCAAAAGTCAGTGGGTACAGTAGCGTGTAATTGCGTGGTGTCTGCTGTGAGAATACTAACACCATCCATCCCATTTTGTTTTTACCCCCCCAGCGTTCAGCCAGTCTAAGCAGAGTCACGGTGTTTATTCAGTCCAGGTGGTAAAGCAGCTTTAGGAAACCACATTGTGTACCCCTATGAAACTTAATCATTGCAACAACTACCTATATGATATCATTTGATCTCAGCTAATCAGATGTTCTGCTGTTAGTGAATATGTTTTGTGTAAAATGGTGAAAAATCAAAGCTCAAATGTTTTGTAGGCTATATTTGTTTGTGTCACCTGAATCTTAAGATTAATACAATTTTGTCAAAAGTTTTTATCATTTCATTTCCAGTTAATTGTCAGGTTTATTGTTCTTTCATTATAGTTTTTTTGTGCAGCTGCTAAAGATTCTTTGTGTAAAACAACACAAACAAAACTTACCCATCACGTGTTTATTATTCTGAACAAAACCAAATATCTGTGAGGCTCATGATTCTGGTGCTTTACAGCGACACAGCTAAAATGAATCTTTCTTCTGTTCAGGCTTTTGTTCCTCATGTCCTGGGGATGTATTTCATCGCTGCACTGGCTCTTATTTTCTACGTTTCAAAAGTTCCTGAGCGTTACTTCCCAGGTGAGACTGTTTGATTTCTTCTGTTGTTCAGAGCAGCTTTTCTCAGTCACTCTGTTCTTCAAATACTTTGCTGCTCCATAGCTGATCAGAAGTGATCAATATTGTAGTGCTAACACTGAAACATTCACAAGGCCAGATGTGTTCACCAGTAATTCAGTCAGTGATTTGCAGCCAAAGTGAAGTCTTTCCCTCTCCTTGTTCCCCGTCTGTGATGTGGCGGCAGGTCAGGTGAACTACCTGGGCTCCAGCCACCAGGTGTGGCACCTGCTGCTGGTTCTCATGTTTTACTGGTGGCACCAGTCGTCAGGCTTCATCATGGCGTACCGACACAGCCAGCCCTGCCCCGATGTGCCCCAGCACGCTTAACACGCTGCTTGGCATGCTGGGAGTTCTGGCACTTAGAAACAGTAAGTTGTCCTCAGTCAGCTCTGTACACAAGTGTACTGCAGGCTACAGTGTTAGTCAGACAAACTTTGTCTACAGATAGCTGCCTCCACTACAAGGCAGCAAATCACCGCAGCTATTGGCCGATCAGTTCCAAGACCAGAACGAAGTATAGTCTATGATCTGTTACCTGATTGGGCTGTGATCGACAGGAAGCACACAAACACAGTGCAGACGGACTCTTTAATGACAGGTCAGCTTACAGTGCTTTTTGAAGGCCTTAACTCAAATCTTTATTTGTAAAATTCTCTGTATGAGTTCACAAAAGAAGCCAGAAGAAAAAGTGCTTGAGCGTAACTGTTGCCCAAACAGAGCGAACTGCGTTTAAACAAAATGTAGTGGAAAACGAATATGTTAACATCTTGGTTGTTACCAACAGTGCACTTTGATACCCAGCCCTTATTTTAGTTGTTAATTCTGTCATGGTGTTAACACATAGTTTGTCTCTGTAGGTTGGTGAACGGCTGCAGCGTGGCCCTGCGTGCAGAGGCCAGAGGGCGCCAGACTCCATGCCCACCTGGCTTCTTCAGTCAGACCACAGACGGAGAGTTTCTCCCCCAAGAGCGTCTTCAGGTCACCTCACCTGTGAGTTGCTGCAAACAGGAATCAAACTTGCGACTTCTAGGATGTGAGGTGACACTATTGAGGTTTCCGATAAAACACGACCGCCGACTGATCGTACATCAGTGATGACAACAACTTTTACCAGAATGTCAGACAAACCAACAACAGTCCAGAGTTTTAGGCTACTGTGCTTACTTCACTTTTACGTCCTGTTAAGGATTAATCAGTGTAAAAATCACAGATGAAGCCACAAAAACTGCCCAACCAAGGTTGGTCAAGTAGTATTTTACTTCTTTTTTTAAAGGATCCTGCATATTTCTTTAAGTGCCTGTAAATAACCCATAATGTAGCTCTAGTTAATTTAACTTGAATTGCATAAAATTTAGCCGTTAGTAATCCCATGATGGTTTGAAAACCATTTTGTGGAAATTAGGCTTCAGTGAAATGTGCAAGGGAAAATAAAATAGTTGAGACACTATCCCTCTGCAGTTACACTAAAACTGTGAGTAAACTATGAGATAATGCTGCAGAACCTGTCATTAGGTTTTAGCAGAAGCTAACTCAGCATCCTTAGTGTTCCATATCCCAAACAAATACAGAGTACACACGGGCTTCAGAGTTGCTACCTGCAGTGTAACTCACTAGATCCATGTACTGAGCAGCTTCAGAACCTGCTTGGAAACACTGGGTTTTTAATATTTCAGCAGCAGGATGGTTACATAACTCTGACAGCACATCCAGCAGCAGGTAGCAGAAAGAGTGCTGATGGCTAATCCACCGTACTTAGTGCTCCAAAAGGTAAACAAATATAGCCTAAAACTGGCGCCCACATTGTAACACACACTGTCCATGGCAACGTTACGTAGCCTCTACTCCCTGTTACTTGTCAAAGTTTATATCTGTTCACAGGAGTGATGATGATTAACACTTATTGTTTAATGCTTCGTCATCATTAGGAGAGGTGGAGATCAGGACCTTGTAACGGGCCGGGTTATGGCCGATGTTTAGGCCACCTGATGTGTCTACATCCTGTAGGCCATCAGACCAGCTATGTAATGGATTTGAGCTCAAGTACCAGTTAAATTTTGTTGTGTAGTATTTTGGAAAATGTTTCATTAAACGTTAAAGGTTCAGTCACGTGAACAGATCGTACTTTTACACCAAACAGCCAGAATGTTGCCATAGATACGAGTTACTGTGGGCTGCAGCTTGGGCGCCATTTTAGCCTGTATTTGTTTGCGTATTAGAACACTAAGTATGCAGAATTAACTATTCATTTTTGCTATGTGCTATCGTATGTGCTGACAGAATTACATTAAACTTTTAAAAACCCAAATGTTTGTTAAGCAGGTTCTGAAGCTTTCCAACTCCTGCTCAGTACCTGTAGTAAGTTACACTGCAGGCAGCGACTCTGAAGCCCATTTTTAGTACTTGGTGATACTGAGTATGCCAAGTTAACCATTAACAGTTCACTTTTGCAATGTGCTATTGGATGAACTGACAACTACCACTGAATTACTTTGGTACTAAAGAATTTGTTAAAACCTGATGATTTTCAGGCAGGTTCTGCAGCGTTCCAGTGTTCCCATTATCTCATAACTATGAGAAAAGGGTCTTGTAATTATGAGAAAACAAGTCAGTTACAACATAAGATCCTCCAATTTTTCTTTGGGGAATGCAGTGCGCCTCCGTATCTTGGTAAAACGGCAGCTCTTCCAAATGAAAACATGCAAAAACAAACCAGTTTTTCACCACAGTTAATGTTTAGATATAAAAACCAAAGACACAGACACGGCTGTGGAACAGAATTTTATCCTTCTGTTTACCAGTTTCTTACATTTAGGGTTTTTTTGTTTCAGTGTGAACAGTGTTCTCTACCTGTTCCAGTCCCATGATGGTGAACTGTTATTACTACTACTGTGTACTGTGTGTCTCTTCCTCTCAGACCTCCCATGTACCTGTGAGAGACATGCCAGCTAGAACACAGAGTGCACAGTAGTAGTAACAACTCGCCATCATGGGATGGAAACAGCTGGCATGTCTCTCTCAGGTACATGGGATGTTGGGGGAGGAAACTGGGTGTTCACTGCTGTAATGTTTTCTGTGGGTGAAAAGAGTGAGAACAGTTTATTAATGACAAACTGCTGAATTCCTGATGGCCTGACTGATCAAAGTATTTTATTGGAAGCTCTTTCAGATTTTTTTTTTTTTCTGGTCCCTACCACTGAAATTGGAGGCCTGTAAGAGCTGGGTGTTAAGGAGCTGCTAGTGAGACATAGGCCTTCAAACTGTGTCCCAGTTTCAAAGTCTGAAGTGACCGATGTCACTGTGTAACTGAGCATTATAAAATACAAAATGCACATGCCACTGAAAAATAGTTTCTATAATGTGCATTAATTTTGTAGCTTTGGCACCTGTGGACTACAGTGTACTTTCACTTTAACAAAAAAAGACAAGGCAGCGACAGACAAGCAAACCTTTTTCAAGTATTTTTTTCCAGTGATTTACTACATTGTTTTGTACTTTCTCAGTATGTAGCATCAATATTCACATATTTACAACCTTTCTATCTCACTGTGCTACTGCAGGCACTCATGTAACTGTCAAGTTTAAATGAGTTTGAAACTGGGACCCAGTTTAGATTTTACGATTCAGGCACTGGTTTAACATTGAAATAGCTGCAGCCGTGTGTTTCCTACTGGGGCGTCAGGCAACTTCACTACTATACTGTCCTAGTTGCAACTACATTAGACTTTGTGTTGAAAACGTGCTTTTTCTGCCTGAACTGACAAGAAAATCTTCGACTGTAGGTAAAACAGTGTTTCAGATAGTGACTCATTTAGGGTGATGTGCAATTTTGCATTTCAGTGGCTTCACTCCAAAATGCAACAAATCCACATAGGAGAGAAGTCGTCTTAACAGATTGTGCGTCTCTTTCAAATGCTACAGTTTTGTAAAAGTACTAGTGCTTGTTTCATTTTGGAGTTAAATCATTTGTTTTCTGTGATACTTAACATTTTAAGAGGTTTCTCTGGTGTTACAATTTCAGATGTTTTTGTTCTGTATTTAAATGATGAACTTGCCTGTGAAGGTTGCTTTAAAACACTGTCTTTAAGCTTAGCGACGTGGGCTGTGTTTGCAACTCATTTTGGAGCAGTGGAAATTTTGTATTTTGACTTTTCATATGAGAGCAAACGACCTGC